AAATAAGTAAGGAATACATTTAATCTTAACTTACCTCAACGGCTTCTTCTTTTCTTCCCAGAATTCCGAGTACCAGTCCCATATTCAAGTGGGCCACTGTGAACAATTAGTAAGAAACATGCTAAAATTAGCGAAAAGGAACTGTGTTTTTTTACAGAGATTGTTAATTTCAAGAAATTGAGTTTGGATTTTATATGTAGCTTTATATATCAGAAAATTGGTTCCCTATGGCAGCCTTGCTTATATTATAAAAAGAAAAAAGTTGTTACAAATATCCAGAGGGCGCAACAGTCTAGAAAACCTCTCAAACGATGAAAACTCTTAAAACTACCCTGAAACCTGGAGGTTATCCTTCATATACTTATTCACATTTTCAGAGTAATATTTCTTGCTGTAGAGGGTCCCCCGGTAGATCAGCGATACGTTTACAGACTTATAGCGCTAACATCCAGGGTTAGATTCCTAAGGTGTATCCACAATTGATAGCTCCAAGACAAGCTTCGTATGTAAATCAAACAAAACATTCAGCCAGCGGTAGACTTGCGGGCTTATAATACTAAAAATTGGGGTTCGAAGATTGGGTGTGCAAGCGCAGATAACCCATTGTGTAACTATGGAGGAGTTATAATATTACGAAAGTCAGAAAAATGTTTTTCACAAGCACATGCACATTATCCACATCCTCGTATTTATAATTAATTTCCCAGTAGGTATTAACATTTCTCTTCATTTCTATGTGTGTAACATGCAATACCCAGATTGTCAGAGCAACTTAGCAGTGAATCAGCCAGCAAATTTTTTTATTGTATGTATCGACAAAAGGAACATCTGTTTGAACTTAATTAAAAGTGAGAATAAAAGTAAATATATTATTTTCTAAATCAGATTTTTTTTTTTACGGCTGTCAATGTTGAAGTTATTTTGTTACTGTTTAAGGTAAAATACATACATGAAAAATTTATATTAGGAAATTGGTTATCGGGAAATTAATCGTAAAGCTAGCTGTATGCCAACCATGAAAAATTCAACAGCGTAGCTATCAACAGGGGGAGTGGGGTGTTAAAGAACTAACATACTTCTTTGTAAGATGTTACACAGTGATGTTGAAATCTGTTGGCTAAGCCCACAAGCCTCTGACATCGAAAAACGATTGGACTGTTTAATTTCTTTGTAAACATAATTACGCAAATTAGTCTAGTATTTAATAAAAAAAAACAATTTACAGACATCTGAATCAGTTAACTCTTTTGAAGACATTAACACATTGCAATCACCTTTAGTTCCATTAACTGTATAAAATCTGGCAAATACGTCCGAATTCTGCCAAATAATAATTGAAAAATGCATATTTTCCACATAGAAAACAGTAGGCAATTAGTGTTACAAATGACCCGATAAAGTTTCTAGTTTTCTTTTCCAAGCAAGAGGGTTACTATCGAAGCTCAATTGTTATTTTATGTTTTATGTCAACAACCTATAAGATATTCACAAAAGAAAACCATTTTTAACACTATTCCGTGAATTTAAAGGTATTCAATTAGTGTAATGAGGTTTGTTTTATGTGTCACAAAACACTAATCTGAAGGTATGACTCCGAGAAATAAACTGAATACATTTTTAAAGGGTATTACACAATATAAACATTTCATAAAAAAAAAAACTTTGATGTAGGTTTTAAACACTAATCAAGAACCGAAACAGAGAAATAAGGGGGTGGGGATACATACTTGCGAGACGGGGTCGAAACTGGATTGCCAACCTGTAACCCTGCAGAGCTTCTTCATACCTGCCCTGCTCTTGTAGTAATATCCCCCTGGTAATGAAAGAAAAAAGAAGATAAGATACCAGAATATCCCCTTTGGAAGCACAGCTTAATAATACTGATTATCACTAATGAACCATTATCAAAATGCGGGAATCGTGTAACTATTTCAAATACATAGAGGCAACATAAACTGTATAAAAAATAAAAATAAATATGAAACCCAATTTTTCATTCGATTCACCACTTGTCACTGAGTTATATTGGTTTCGAGGGGAAACAGTGGTGGAATGATATGTTTAAGATTTGATAAAGTGTTATGTTTCTTTGCTAAGAGTAAGTAAAATTAAATACATATATTTTAAGGCTTAACAGAAAATTCTTTTCAGAAAAACTCTTACTAGCCTGTGCCGTATAGATGCTGTGAAATTATAATTCAGACAATTAAAAATGTCATTGTTATGTGACTAAATTCATCAAACACTTACAGATTATAATGGACGTCCGCCATATTGGATCGATAACTCAACGCTTTCTTGTAAGCCCATTCTGCTTTAGTCTTCTTGCCTTGAGCACTCAAGATGTTGGCCAAGTTTCCGTAAGCTACCGAAAAATATAAAAATTTTCTTATTTTATTCTTCTAAAACTGCAAACCATCAAATGTTGGAAAACTGGTGG